GGTCACGTGCAATGTTGGCGGCATGATTGCTGACCTGTATGATCTTCTCTTGAACTGGTTGCACACCGCATGCACTGCACAGGTGGTCGTACTGCAAAAGGCTCATTGGGGCATTCCTTGGTCGAGCAGACTGCAGCTGGAAAGCAGATAAATGTCATATTGTAGCCACTGCTGAACCGGAGAAACGCTACGCTGGAGTCTGCATTGTGTTTCAGAGACAGTGGCCACTGCCGATCAGCTGATACGTCAGACTTGGATACCTGGTCGCTTGCTGCATGTACGCATGGAAGGGGGGAGGCTTTCGGTTGATGTTGTAGGAGTCTACCAGTGGATTCAAAGCCACAAAACTGGAGAGGGCGAGGACCGTCCCCGGCTGAGACTGTAGACGCATCTTGGGCGCCTCCTGTCTGCACTTCCGCTGAATGTCTTATTGTTAGGGATATGAATGCAGGGTGTCAGAGAAATGGTATCCACGTGGGCTCCGGAGTACTGTCTAGAGTCTAGTCTAGAGTCTAGCGGACAGAAGCTGGACGAGGACTTCCAGCAGCTTATTAGCAATTATGGCTTGTGCGCGCTCAACACCTGGGGCCGAGCACGCGCAGGACATTGCGCCACGTACATCAATTGCACTATGAAAACTCAGATTGGTTTCGTCCTTACCCGCGTCCACTGCTTCGGCAGATGCTTCGGCCGGTGCTTCGGCAATTGCCTCGACCGGTGGTGGTGATCACTGTGGGTGAGCCTATTTGAATCCCGTGCTGCAGGAATTAAATCCCTTTTTCACCTTATTCACTTTAACTTTCGTGCTGATGGGCATTGACATTGTTGCTCGGAATGCCGGCTCTCCGATGCTTATCGCCAAACTCGCAGCGGACTGCACGATCAGGGCCTACTTGAACGACGGCCTCGCTTTGCGGATGCATGAAGAGGAGGAGCAAGGTCCACAAGGGCATTGCATTACTCCTTATTTGGACGCATCATCAATGGTGCACACCTGCACTGCTGCTCAACCTGTCGGCAGACCCAAGGAGTGGTTTACACGCGGAGCGACAGCTGCAACCATCCGGCCATGCACCTACTGCGGCGACAATGAGGCCAACATTGTTGCCATTGGTTGTGCTTGCTGCAGCACCAACCACCATGCCCATGGGTGCTATGGGTGCTGCTGCTGTGAGTGACCAAAGATTCCAAACATGCATGGAGCATCAAGCTCCGAGCTTGGCTCAGTCGGCTACCAAGGACTCAGCTTCTTCAATGTGGATGATTATGGCACTGGCAGCGCTGGAGCAGTCCCGGTCCTTGCCACCATGGGGTCAGCAACACGTGTGGGTGATGCTTTCCCTTCGCTTCTCGATGATATGGACTGATTTTCCATGGTGGCAATGTGTATGTACAGATTTGTCAAAAAAACCATTTATCCAGTGACGCGATGGATATTCGCCGAGCCGGAGCGCCTGTCCTCGCAGCGGATCTTGGACGATTCGGCGTACTAGTATTGCTACTACTGCTACTACTGCTGCTACTGCTACTACTGCTACTACCACCACTACTACCACCACTACTACTACCACTACTACTACTACTACTACTAACTACGACTACTACTACTACTACTACTACTACTACTACTGCTACTTCTAGTACTACTACCACTACTACTA